ATTGTTCTATTTGGTTCTAATCTCCAGTATAAAGCAGTTTCGTCACAATTCCATATATCTTCTGGGTTATATTCTCTTAGGACTTCTTGAAGTTGGCTTTGCATATTGGCGATTTCATCAATGGGTGCACTTAATGATTCACCTCTCTTTTTGTAGCTACGTAAATTATTCCTATTTTTAAAATTTCTCAACCACCCTAAAGAAGCATTGAAATCGTCAATTTCAAAAAGACTAGCAAATTCTTTTGCTTTCTCTTGGATAATAGAACCACTTAATGTTAAATTTCTAGCCAAATTTTGGTCAACCCAGATTCTTGTTGCTTCTTCAATATCAGGGTAATCTGATTTTTTATTTCTATATAGATTATGGCTTGAACTTGCATCATATTCTAGCCATTGAGAAGATTGTTTCAGTATATCAGAAACGGATTGCACAGATATTCCATATTCTTGGGCCAATTCAACACCTTTAATATTTGGATTATCCCTTTTTTTTTCACATAATTCTTTTTTTTTGTGTTTTAGTCAATATTTTTCTTTTCTATATGATTTTAAAAAATTGGTTAATTTTTAATAAATTTTTCTAATGAAATATTTAATTAACATAATTAATTACTTTAAGTGTTTGATTTGGATTTTCTTCTAATGGTTGTGAAGACATTTTTTCGATTTACAAGCAATTGGACTACTATCTCTTTATATAAGTAATTTATTTTCAATCATTACAAATCATTTTTATTACAAATCTATCATGAAATTTTTTCTGACACAATACATAAGCCCATATTACATCAGAAAAAATTTCTTAATGTCATGTTTTATTACAATACTTTGGTTGTGAAGACATTTTCGATTTTTAAAATATCAAACATATACATATTACATCAGAAAAAATTTCTTAATGTCATGTTTTATTACAATACTTTGGTTGTGAAGACATTTTTGATTTTTAAAATATCAAACATTACATATACATATTACATCAGAACTTTTCAATGTTATTATTTATTACATTCAATTATTATGAAATATTTTTCTTGATCTGGTTGGTCGTGAATATTTTCCGTTTATTACAAATCTGACATCATACATATAACATCAGAAAATTTTCCTATGTCATACATAAGTTTTTATTGTTTTATAAAATTTTACTAGTTCAAAATAAAAATGATCGTCATCCGCTATATCAAGACATTTTTATTATGAACGGACATATAGATTTTTAAAAAAAAATCCGTTAAATCGAATTTATATATGAAATCCGTTAAATCCGTTAAATCGGGATAAAATAATTATAGATGAATTGGGATTTGAAAATTTATCCGGTAAACCCTTAAATCCGTTAAATCGGAATCCGCTAAATCGGAATTCACTGTGTATTTATATTAATTCTAAAATACGTTTTCTTATCAAAAACAGCTTCATCGAACAACTAAATAATATTTATATCTGTCAAAGAAAGAACTTGTTTTTACAAACAGTCTTTTAATTAGTAAATGTGCATCTGCTTCATATTTCACAAATTAACCAAGTTTGGATGAGTGAAACATTCTATATTAATACAGACTAAGAAAACAATTATAATTGTTGAAAGATTCATAATTATGCATTGTAAATTCATAATTATGCCCTTTTAAGCAACCTTTATCAAAATACCCCATTAGAATATAAAAGAAAGATTTTACTAAATAAATTATATATCTATTATTATGTGTATGTGTTTTATTAACGTATATGGTTTATAATTCTCATTCCCAAAAAAATTGGCCTGTTAAATTTTATTCTTTTTATTCTTAATCCTAATCTAAATTAAAAAAAATGATTATATATTTCTTTATTGTTTTCACGAATTCTATCCAACATTTTTCTTTAGCTCCAGGATTCCATATATCATAGATATAATGATCAGGTGCTAACTCTTTCACCTCTTCTATCTCATTCAAATCTTGTATAGTTGGAGACAGGTAATATTGTTCAAGTTTTCATAGAAATAAATGTTATTCTCACATACTTTATCCATATGAGTCCTCAATCCAAAAAAATTACACCCTATTTGTACAAAACCTTTTTTCCCTTGCTGCTAGATATGTTAAAATTGCTTGATCTTGTCGATGGTTTGTTCTGTTGCTACCTTCTGGTGCTATACATTGTTTTATTCGGGCACACTTTATCCAATTATTCATTAAATGTCTTACCTTATTTGTATCAAATGCTATTGATAGAATCTATGGAATATTGTCAAAAAGTATTATCCTTTCAATGCTGAAAAATAAAACGTGCCTCCTTTTTCAGTTGTTGTGCAGTGAAAAACTTAGCCGTATGTCATCAATAATGCTGTGAATGATTTTAGTAACCATATCAATCATTGGATGATTTGTCTCCGTCCAATAAAAGACATCAGAAAAAAATTTAAAGGTGCACACTTATAATTTCTTCAATCAAACTGAAGAAAAAGATCACTCCAGTAATGCATACAAGATTCTTATAAGCCAGTTAAGTAAAAATCATAGATTTTCTTTACCTTTTTGTTATGAATCTCTTGATTATTTTCTGATAAATAAAGATTAAAAAAGTTCACATATAAATTTTTTATAAATTAAAATATTAAAAAAAACTACCTGAAAATTTATTTGAATTATTATTTAATTCATGTAAAGCAGTATCTAGATGTTTTTTTATTTGTCTTTAATATATAATTTACTTATAATGAAACAAAATCAAGGAAATCATGGAAATCGCAAAAGTTGCGGGAGTCATGGAAGTTGTGGAGGTCATGGAATTGTGATAAAAGTCATGAAAATAATGAAGATACCAATTCTGTTCAAGATGACCATGCTTTATTTTTCTCAGAAATGATTTTACAAGGTCAATGTGAAAAGAATGTAAAAAATCTTAGTTGAAAAATTTAAAGTTATATTAAACTTTAAATGTGATGTTAATCGATATTTAAAGTTGTACAACCCAATTTAAAAGTAGTACAATAGAATATAGCAAATCAACGGACAGGAGAGACCAGTTTTGGGAACAAAAAATTGACAGGGGGGAACACAAAATTTTAACCCATGCTATTTGTTGATTGACCAATTAAAATCGCGAATTTGATAAACGTAGAAATAAA